CTTTGTAATATGAAATCACACACACACACACAACCATTGAGTCAATTCCTGCATCAATCAGAGAAATATAAAGAATATTCTTCATGTTTTGTCTTAGGATATTCATTGTGTGTGGGTGCATCCATCCATCCATCCATGTATGCATATGCATTGAGTGTGTGTGTGTATATATACATATACATATATACATACATATATATGTGTGTGTGTGTATATATATATATATATATAATCTCACTTCATTTCCTGAGACCAGTCTACCTGGATTTCAATCTACATCTCATACTCTTAACAGTATGATCTTGGTTAATTATCATAACCTCTACGTGCTTCAGTTTCTTCATTATGAGGTAAGAACAATAATTATACCTCCCTCCTAAGTTGTTCATCATATCACCCTTATGAAGGATGTATAATTATTATCAGAGCCCTTGTGGGACAGTGTTTAAAACACTCATCTGTTAATCAAAAATTCGGCCGTTCAAATCATCATCTGCTCCTAGGAGAAAGAGGAGGCAGTCTGCGTCCATAGAATAGAGATTGACAGCCTTGGAAACCCTGTGGGGCAATTCTGCTGTGTCCTTTAGGGGTGCCATGAGTTAGAATCAACTTCATGGCCTTGGGTTTGGTTTTTCAGAGTTTATCCCTATTTTATAGATAAAGAAATTGAGACACATAGAGGTTATCATAATTAAGCAGGATCATAGTGTTAGAGTATAAGAGATGTGGATCCAAATTTAGGTAGTGGTCCCAGGAAATGATGTGGAAAAAAAAAAATATATATATATGTATGTACGTATAAAATACACACACATATGTATATGTGCACACATACACATATACACATTCACTTAATGAATAGCCTATGATAAAACATTGAAAAATGTTTTTCTCTGTGTCAGAAAAATTTTCAGTTGGGATCATTAAGAGTTGGAATCAAGTCGATGAAATGGGTTTGGGTTTTGGCTTTTTTGCATAAGGTTGTTATGAAGACTAATTTTGTGAATACATTTAAAACACACATTCAATGTATTTCCTAAGCTGATATTAAACTTATTGGTCTCTTTTCATTCTGATGGCCATGTATGTACATTACTTTAAGTATTGGAGTTTAGACTGTGTATTCAGCTGTTTGAAAGGTGTAAATTTCAAAGTTGCCATGTTTTTACTTTTCAAATCCTTTCTTCTTCTCCTTCTCTTCTTTCCTTCTCCTTCTCCTTCCTCTTTTTTTTTTTTTTTTTTTAACCATTAGTTTATTTTTAGAGGCTGAAACCCTGATGGAGTTCTTAAATGTCAATATGTCCATCACTTGCATCAGTATTCATTTTGGCTGTTCTGTGATGATAAGCTTTTGTCTTTTTCTAAAGGCAGGGCAGTTAAAGATACTGTTGAAGTCAGTGCTGGACCAGTGGAGCAATTACAAAGTGGCCTTTGATGAGATCAATGGTTACCTCATGGAGGCTAGATACTCCCTTTCTCGATTCCGTTTGCTGACTGGCTCTTTAGAAGCCGTGAAAGTTCAAGTAGACAACCTTCAGGTAAGAAATGAACTTAACCCATTTTTTTTTGATTTGACAAAAATGAAAACTTAGCAAATGTAAACCCCATCATATCTGCTGGGATCTGACCATCTAGTGTTTAGATTTCATTTCAGGAGGCCCTCTTATCCATGGGGGATATGTTCCAAGACCCCCAGTGCCTGAAACCATGGATAGTACCAAACCCTATATATATACTATGCTTTTTCCATATACATACATAGGACAGATACCCAGGTGCCTGTAGCAGGCAGCAATAACTCATTTGATGCCAGGCAGGAGGTAATGCAACTGCTCACCCAATTATGTGTTCTAGGCTCATCCTCAGTAGAGGCAGAGGAAGCCAGCTCCTGTAGGAAGCAGGATGGCAGGAGAGTCATCATGCTACTCAGAATAGCAAGCAATTTAAATATTTTCAGATGGGTCTGAAACCATGGAAAGCCAAACTGTAGACAAGGGGGATTACTGTATTTTTAAAATCTTTCAATTTAGTTCATCAGCTTTATTGCTTAATCTAATATCCTTGTGTATATAAAATTTTGGATCGACTGCTATGTAACTTGTTGTTGTTGTTGTTGTTATGTGCCGTCGAGTCAGCTATGTAACTAAATGACTTTAAAAACTCTATTAAATAGATAGTCATATAAATGTATTTTGTAGAATGATTTTACAGTAGTCCCCCTTATCTGTGCTTTCACTTTCCATAATTTCAGTTTCTTGTGGTCCGAAACATTAAATGGAAAATTTCAGAAGTAATTCTAAATGTTAAATTGCATGCTCTTCTGAGTAGCTGTGTGAAATCTCGTGCCGCCCTGCTCTGTTCTCCCCAGACTGTAAATCATTGCTTTGTGCCATGAGTCCCTGCTGTGTGTGCTGCCTGCCTGTGGTCCCTTAGTAACAGTAGTCAGTTATCAAATCGACTACCACGGTATCAGAGTGCTTGTGTTCAAGTGACCCTTATTTTACTTAATCATCGTTCAGATTTATTATTAGCTATTGTTGCTAATCTCTTACTGTGCCTACTTTAGAAATTAAACTTCATCATAGATACGTATGTGTAGCTGTCCCTTAGTAGCATGGGGGATTTGTTCTAGGACCCTCTGCAGATATCAAAATCAGTGGATGCTCAAGTCCCTTGTATAAAATGACATAATATTTGCATATAACCTACACATATCACCCTGTATACTTTAAATCATCTCTAGATTACTTACCAAAACCAAAACCAAACTCACTGCCGTCAAGTCAAGTCTGACTCATAGTGACCCTTCCTGGGGTTTCCGAGGTGGTATCTCTACGGAAGTAGATTCCTCAACCTTCCTTCTGAGGAGTGGCTGGTGGGTTTGAACTGCCAGCCTTCTGGTTAGCAGTCAAATGCCTTAGGCACTACCCCACTACCTAATACTATGTAAATGATATGTAGATCGCACTTTATGCTCCCTTTTAGTCTTTGGGGGATTGCATTGACCACTTAATTGCTTTCTTTTTCTTTTTCTTTTCCCATAAATATTTTCAATCTATGATTGGTTGAACCCATGGATGTGGAACCCACCATATAGGAAAAAACGTATAAGGCCAACCATAGGAAAAAACATAGTACACAAGGTTCCGTATTATCGACGGGTTCAGGGATAACCCCCTAGCCGCTGGTGGTCTTGGAACGTATCCTCAGTGAATAAGGGGGACTACTGCTTCCTTTTCTCTTTTTTATCTTGCCTCTCCAAACATACTCTAAGGGATTAAAAAGACAACAAGGAGGAAAACAGCAAAAGTGGTAACTTTTAAACTATTGAGGCATTTCCTTTACATTCAGCACATCGGGGGGCTACACAATGTGTGTACATCATGCTCTTCCAGGTGTCACTGTTAGGTTTCCTCTGGGTCCATCACCATTGTAGTCATCAAGGGTGGGGTTGCTGCTCTTTGTTTTAACCAGGGCACTCTCTCCTAGCTTGGGTCACTGCTCTCAAAGTAGCTGCCACCGACAGGCTGTCGCCATCACCCACGGTGCACCTGGTACTGGGCCATTCTTACACGTTGCTGCTCTGTCGTCTTGGGTAAAAAGCACAGTCTGTGGGGTGAGGGAGAGACATGATACCTCAGGAGCCTAGCAGGTACCCATATCACACCCAGGAGATTTCTCTGGCTTGCTTGGCAAGCAAAGTTTATGTTGCTGGCCTCATATCAGACTTCCTTAAGGAAACGTCTTTTTGGGGAGAAGAAGGGAAGGTGTGGATGAAACGTGCGTATATAATTTCTCTAAGTCTTAAATAGATGTTATAGAAACTAAGGAAAACTTATTTTGTGAATAGCAGGTTTAAAAATAACATAATTGTGAAGACTTTTAAATTACTTCTTAATTTAATATATTCTGGGTTTAATACCTATAAGAGCTGTCTTGAAGGATAAAGGGTCTTTTCCCTGAATATTTTGACTTGAGGAAAATCTTATATGGATGTTAAATTGTGCTGGATTTCTGTACTCAACTTTATCTCTCAAGTTTGACTAAGAACTGAGTCTGTCAATTCAGCAGTATTTCGAGGGAAACATTTTTCTCCAGTTCCCTTCCTGGTTCTTGATAGAAGACTCTGCCTGTGGTAGTTAAGGTTGTGTGTCAACTTGCCTGGGCCAGGTTGAGTGGCTGGACAGCTGGTGGTACTTACTCCCCATGATGAGACTGGCAATTAACTCCATGGTGGGATAGACTACAAGTAGTTGAGTAGCTGCTTTAGGGATGTGGTCTGCTTCCTGTATATAAGGATAAGCTTTGGGAATTGTCTACAGCTTATGGCACTCTTGGACCCCGCATGTAGCCGAGTCATTGTTCAGCAGCCTGATATGTTGTCTGCTGATCTTGGGACTCTTAATGGACTTGAATCAATAGCCTGTCATGGTTTGGTAATCTTGGGACTGTGCCATTTTACTTACTGACCTTGAGTTTGTCAGCCTCAGCAGCCAGCAGCTACCTGAGTGAAGAAAGCCTCCAGCTTCAGTGGGCTGGGAGTAAGAGGCAGAGCTGGAGCCCAGGGTCAAGGAGTTTTCAGAGCCTGGCACATTGAATTCAGACTTCTAGCCTCCCAAACTGTAAGAGAATAAACTCCTGTTGGTTAAGGCTATCCCATTTATAGTAGCTCTGGGAGCATAGTGCCTAAGGCACTTGACTGCTAACCAGAAGGCTGGTGGTTCAAACCTACCAGCCACTCCTCAGTTGGATGCTTGGGCAATCTACTTCCATAGTGATACCACCTGAGAAACCCAAGGAGGGGTTGCTATGAGTCGGGTCCAACTTGACAGCACATAACAACAACAACATCCCATTTGTGGTATCTTCTGTTAGAGCAGCACAGAGTAACCAAAACACTGTCCAAACCTATAGCCTGTCTAGTAAACATTCTTTTCAAGGAAGAACAACTAAAGATGGTACTTAGAGATGCTGTTCAGGATGTGCACTCAAGCCATGGCTTCTTATAGTCTAATTACCAGGAGTTTGTGGTCAGAAAACTGTAGGTATATAAGGCATCGTTGCTGCTGCTGTTGATTTCAACTCATAGCAGCCCCAGCTGTCCAGTGAGATTCCCTAGGTTGTAATATGAGATTGATCATCCAGATCTTTCTCATGTGGAGCTTCTGGGTAGGTTCGGACTGCTGACCTTTCAGTTAGCAGCTGAATGAGTAACCATTGCACTTAGCTCTTATGCCATAGCAGAGTGGACCACAGTATGACAGACTGCACATATGCCATGGCCATGGATGCCTACTGAGTAATGGGCAAGGACACCCTGTGTAGGCTTTTCCAGAAGAATCCCTAATACCACTAGGTTGTTGCTCTGGTGATGGTTCTCATGTCAGCTCCAACTCTTGGTGACCTTTTACATAACAAAATGAAACATTGGACAGTCCTGCACCAGCTAAGAATCTCTTCTAACCATAAGAACACAATCATAAAAAGATAATACATGTTTATGTAAAGCAAGCTTATAAAGCACTGAGGTGTAGTCATGGATGATTTATGTATTATATGTACATATTTATGAAAGCATCTATAAATTGCCTTTAAACTTGGTTATAAAACATAAATTCTATCATGTTGTCTGTGATACTTTTTCCTTGGCAGAGTCTTCAAGATGATCTAGAAAAACAGGAAAGGAGCTTAGAGAAATTTGGCTCTGTCACCAACCAACTACTAAAGGAGTGTCACCCACCTGTGACAGAAACTCTTACCAATACACTGAAAGAAGTCAATATGAGGTATGGGGTTAGACAGTTTTACACTGTTAGGCATGATTCACTCTGCTTCTGTAAAGATTTATAGCCTTGGAAACCCCATGGGACAGTTCTAGTCTGTCCTCTAGGGGTGCTATGAGTTGGAATTGAATTTATGGTAATGGGTTTGGTATGGGCTTTGCTTCCATAAAGATTTAAAGCCTTAGAAACCCATTGGGGCAGTTCCACTCTGCTCTATAGGGTTGTTATGAGACGGGATAGACTCAAAGGCAATGGTTTTTGTTTGTTTCTTTATGTGTCATTCATACCAAAACCTTAGTGTAAATGATTAATAACAATTAAAAATTGCTGGCATTTTGAATTTGAGCTTAATTAGATTCCATTCTGTTAATGTTTCAATTTTCACAAAGTGAGTTAAGGATAGGTAAATGTAATGAAGCTATTTAGAAAAATTAAACCTGTTATGTACCCAAATCTTGCCCTCATCCCAAAAATCTACCCTTGGCATAAGATTGTGACATGTTGCTTTTTATTGTTACATAGAAATAGGACTTCTCTGCACTAGTAGCTTGTTCACGTGGTCCAGAATCATGGAAAATAGAATAATGAGTGGCTCCACTTGGTGAGAGGTAGTAATCTGCTCATGAGTGTTGGCTGTTGCTTCCAGATGGAACAACCTGCTGGAAGAGATTTCTGAGCAGCTGCACTCCAGCAAGGCCCTGCTTCAGCTCTGGCAGAGATACAAGGACTACTCCAAGCAATGCACTTCCACAGTTCAGCAGCGGGAGGATCAGACCAACGAGTTGTTGAAGGCTGCCACCAACAAGGACATCGCTGATGATGAAGTTGCCACATGGATTCAAAATTGCAATGTATGTTTGGGAATGACCGTGTTTCCCCAATATGCCATTCTTTGACTCACATGTTCATCAGGCTAGGGGTGATGTGTGTCAGCTTTTGGTATGTTTCAGTAGGAGCTCTGGTGGCGTAGTGCCTAAGGCATTTGACTGCTAACCAGAAGGCTGGCAGTTCAAACCCACCAGCCATTCCTCAGAAGGAAGGTTGGGAAATCTACTTCCACAGGGATACTGCCTCAGAAACTCAAGGAGGGGTCGCTATGAGTAGGATCTGACTTGATGGCAGTGGGTTAGTATGAAAGACAGTTACCCAAAAGGAAGTCTTAAACATCAAAGACTGTGCTAGGTTTCCATGATATAGTTGTATTTGTGTCAAGTTGAAAAGACCCCTTCCTTTTGCTTCAAGGAGCTCCAATGATGCAGTGGTTAAAGCACTGGGCTGCTAACTGAAAGGTCGGCACTCCAAACCCACCAAAGGTTCTGACGCTCCATGGGAGAAACTTGAGGCAGTCAGCTTCCACAAAGATTTACAGCTTTGGAAACCCTACGGGCAGTTCCACTCTGTCTTACAGTGTCACTATGAGTAGGAACTGACTTGATGGCAGTGGGTTTTGGGTCTTCCCATTGCTTAATTTTTAAAGATGACTTGTTTCCCATTTTTCCAATGAAAGATTTAGGCTGTCAGTTTTTACTGAGCTACTCGATATAAGAAATGACCATGGTGGGAATAATTTTTTATCTTTTGCAAATACACTGTTGAAGACATTGCTCATTTTGGTTCAGTGTCTCTTATTCTACATAATTTATGCTAAGAATTTAATGGTAGAAAGCAAACTTTCTCTTCTGATTTATTGGTATAGAACACAGAAACCAAACCCACTGCAGTCAAGTTGATTCTGACTCAGCAACCCTCTAGGACAGAGTAGAACTGCCCCATAGGTTTCTAAGACTATAAATCTTTGTGGAAGCAGACTGTATCATTTTCTTCCACGGAGCAGCTGGTGGATTCAAACTGTTGATCTTTTGGTTAGCAGCTGAGTGATTTTACCACTGTGCCAACAGGGCTCCTTTTTATTGATACAGTTTGTTTTAAAACTTTTTAGTATTTGCTTTTGGGCAGCTAATAACCTAGTTAAGGTTTTTAGGAACAAATCTTCTCTTGTTTTATCTTTCACATGGCTCTTTCTGTTGCCCTTACTTGCCTTTTTACAAGGGTATTTTTACAAACTTTCCAAACCTGGTTTTTTAGAATCAGGCAAGAATTGGTAATAGTAGATGGAAACTGGACACAGGAAACTTCCATTTGTTTATATTTGTGAGCATACGAGGGGTGTCCCAGCAAAGCAAAAGCAGGAGATACCATGGGAAAAATGGAGATACAGTCTACTCTTATCCTCTGCTCACCAAACCTGTCACTGGGTTTCTATACCCCCACTGAGATAGGCAGTTCTGTTGTAACCACTATAATATGACCATATACGCAGAAGATATTGGTAATAAACTAATTCCTCATGCATAGGATAATAAGATGATGTAGAAAAAAAGTAGAATGAGCACTATATTTTCACTTGAATATCAATCACATAAACAGTAGGGGAAATGGTACAAAAATGTTTCCAATTATTACTCTACTGGGGATAATGTTCTTTTCTTCTTGTTTATTTGTATTTTTCTGTGTTTTCCTATGAACCTATGTGGTTTTTATAATCAAAATTATGTATATACACACACACACACATATATATATATATATATATACATATATAATTTAAAAAAGTTATTAACACACATGCATAATATTCAGAAGAAATTTTATTCTTATTTGAGAGCACCAGTGGTACACTCATAGCACACAATATACTTT